GCGCGTGCTCTAAGGCGCATGTGCAAAGCGGTGGGAGAGCGCCTACCCACCAGTGCTGGTATGAACGCTCCCCCACCCCTTTGTGCATGCACAGGGGTGCCTGACCACCCACCCACCCCTTCGCGCAGGCACTGGCACGCGCAGGCACTGGCACACACACATGTGCGCAAAGCAGCTGTAGGGAGGGGAGTGTGTGCGGGGGGCAGGAGGTCTGTCTTCGCGGCCCAGTCCAGCTCAGTCCACGGACCGGCACCAGGCCGCAACCTGGGGGTTGACGACCTCTGTCTTAGAATACATGCAGAGGTCGTCAACCACTGGCCTGTTTCTCTTTTCTCAGAGTTTTACCAAAGGAAGAACTAGTATCAGATCCTCCTGAATCTTAATCTGATGGTTTCCTTGGATGAAGTGAAAAAAGGAGCTTGTCTTCATGGGTCTTCCAGACATCCTGCAGGGAAGTCTTGATTGTGTGTGTGTGTGTGTGTGTGTGTGTGTGGTGTTTTTTTTTAACATCACAAGATCCATGAAAAATTCTTTCTTCAGACTATACCTCCAAAAATCCCCTCCGTCCCCAGCTAGTATTGCCCGCTTTCCCAGGCTCTGGGGTTTGGGGCCAGGTATTTGCATGAGAAGAGTTAAGTAGAATGAAGTTTTTGCTTTCCTGGCTTATTCTTTCCTTGCCTTTAGAACAGAAAAATGGAAATCTGTAAGAACCAACTGGGAAAAGAGATTTTGTTCAGTCATCACTTTGTTCTTCCTCCTTGTGTGAATGAAAATATACTAATTGGGCAATCTGCTTTGATGCAAAAACACTCTGTAGTGCAGAACCATTTCTGGCTCTGATTTGGCATGTGGAGGAGGTAGTCTAATGATCCAAAACAGCAGCTGTCAAACATTTATGTGAGGTAGGAAAACATTTCTAAAAGCTTGATAGACCTGCAAGCTCAGTCATTTTTAACCCATCTTCCCTCAGAAAAAAACACGAAGTGCCTCTCTCCTTCCCTCAGTCCAGGTGACGGATAATTATTTGGATTTTAGAACCATTCACCCTAGCCCCATGTGTCTCAGCTCCCCTCAGATTTTCAGATTTATGGGATGACATTAGGGTTTCTATGCACCACCTGTCAGTCCTGACCCTAAGGAAAGGGAGGCCACACAAGATTGAATTTCCTGTATAATGATTTTGACCTTTTGCAAAAAGTTTTAAATTGGTTTTTTAAAAATATGGTCAAGGAATATAGTTTGGTTTATGAATCTTTTCCTATTGAACGTAGTAAAATATGTGAAATGTGCACTTCAAAATGTTAATTATGGCAAACCTGTGCTTCTGTATATGTATAATAGAGGGCTTTGATTTAGGGAAGCAGGATTGGTTCTGGCTTTGTACTGAGCATAGGTTTAGTGGTAGATGTAGGTCTGATGGGTGAGGAAAGCCTTTATGTTAGCAAAAGGAGATGTGCCCATCTAGTCTGGTGGCTCGTGATGACAACTAGTCAAGGAATATAGTTTGGTTTATGAATCTTTTCCTATTGAACATAGTAAAATGTGCACTTCAAAATGTTAATTATGGCAAACCTGTGCTTCTGTATATGTATAATAGAGGGCTTTGATTTAGGGAAGCAGGATTGGTTCTGGCTTTGTACTGAGCATAGGTTTAGTGGTAGATGTAGGTCTAATGGGTAAGGAAAGCCTTTATGTTAGCAAAAGGAGATGTGCCCATCTAGTCTGGTGGCTCGTGATGACAACTAGTAGTTAACCTCTTGTTAAACAAAGTACATTAGTTTTTGCATTTATAATTATCTCTTCATCCATCATCTGTTCTTCCCATCTTCTGTCTGTCTAAACAAGCTCAGTTTTTGCAAACTGAGAAGCCCTTCAACATTTTTATTAATGACTTGGATGAGGGAGTGCCAGGAATACATCAGATATGCAGATGACACAAAATTGGGTGGAATAACTAAAACCTTGGAAGACGGGAACAAAATTCAAAAAGATCTTGATAGGCTTGAGTACTTGACTAAAAGCTGTGGAATGAAATTTAATAGGGATGAATGCAAAGTTCTACACCAAAGGGAAAAACAAACACACAATTAAAAGGTGGGGAATATTTGGCTCAGTAGTACTGCATGCGAGAAGGACCTTGAAAGTGTTACAGAACACAAGCTGAATACGTATGAGCCAACAGCACGATGTGGCTGCAATGGTATTTTAGGCTGCATTAACAGAAGTATAGTCTCCAAGTCCCATCCACCTCTATTCAGGAGGCTGCATTAACAGAACTATAGTCTCCAAGTCCCACCCACCTCTATTCAGGACTGGTTAGGACTCATCTAGTACTGTGTCTGGTTTTGAACACTGCACTTTGCCAACAAACTGGAACAAGTTCTGATGAGGGCAGCAAAGATGATCAGGGAGCTGGAAACCAAGCCATATGAGGAAAGTCTGAAAGAACTGGACATGTTTAGCTTTGGGAAAAGAACACTGAAGGGAGGGGGAAGAAAAAATTCACAAAAAATTAATGAAGACTCAGCAACTGTTCTAAATTCTTGGGTTCGTTAGAGGACCCCCTAAGTTGTGTGCAAACCTGATTTGGCTTTGATCTGACGTTTCGTTAATTTTTTGTGAATTTTTGTTTTTTGGCCCATAGGAACCAATGGACCTGTCAAAATCTGACAGCTCCATGCTTTCCTATGGGGGAGAAAACAATTTACAAAAAATTAACGAAAGTTCAGATCAAAGCCAAATAGGGTTTGCACATGACTTAAGGGGTCCTCTAACGAATCCAAGCATTTAGAACCGTTTTGGACCCTTCTAAGACACTTTTTAAATTGAAAACAAAAAAAAACGTTAAGCGAAGCAGGGGACCTAAAACCAAAAACGTTAAGCGAAGCATGGTCCCAAAAACGCTATGCGAAAATCGCCCATAGGGAAAAACGTTATACGAAGCACAATCTGCCTCTGAAAAAATAAACGTTAAGCGAAAAAAACGTTAAACGAAGCAAACGTTAAGCGAGGCACCACTGTATTCTATAGTCGAATGACTGTAAAGATACAAATGACCTTGGAAAAATGGGACCTTTGTATCATTATTGATTGATTGATTGATTGATTGATTGATTGATTGATTGATTGATTGATTGATTGATTTGATTTGATTTGATTTGATTTGATTTGATTTGATTTGATTTGTACCCCGCCTATCTGGTCCTTATCTGAGTCATGATAAGGACTCGAATTCTTTGATAGTTGACATAAAATATGAGAGCTTGTGAACCATTGGTGTAGAAGACAGAATGACAAGAGGTAGGATATGTTATGTTTGTTGATCGAACAGCACCATTTGTTCTCTATGTTACATGCCTTGTGGCATTAAGAGGAATGTAAATGGGATGATAAATCTAAAGCTGAATCATACTATGACTATGATGAAGAACTGCTTATATGCAACCACTGAATGTACTATAACGGAGGGCTGCCTTTCAGCCTTCATATTATTAAATCTGAGGTAGTAGGAAATGTGAGGATTTTGTTTAATCCAAAGTGGGAGCCAGTTAGATAATTAATGTATTTCCAAAATGAAACATATGGGTTGTCTCTGGAAAGAAGCTGAATATGCATGATCCAGCTAAAATTAGACATTTTCTCATCTGTTTGGTCTTAGTGGGGAAAGCTGGGAACATTCTTTAGTCCCTGAAGTCTAAATAAGAGCTAAAATAAATGAAATTGTATATCACTACTTTAATAAAGTACAGTGTTAGTCATCTCCTTTTGCAGAATCCACCAATTAGTTTCTCAGACTGATGGGATATTCTGTTTGTATTAAATTTTTTGTACAATTTATTACGAGCTGTCAATCAAAATGAAGTCTCTATTATTTTTCAAAACACTGAACTTGCCTACCGTTGTTTCTCTCCATCCTGGCATGGATGCTTGGTTATTGAGATTGGGGAGGGGGGGAGAGATAGCAAATAGCCCCTAGGAAGCTCCCTTCTTCCACTAAAATGGAAATAGTTGTGAGGTTTCAGGAACACTATCGCAAACCGATTCTATGGCAGTTGGGAGGCAGAGGCAGGAGGGGACGATTTCAGGGTGAAGAAGTTGCTACTTCTTAAATCCTGCTGAGATTGTGCCTGCCAGGATGGAAAATGTGTGTGCTGGTTTTGTCGTTTGTCATTGCTCTAAAACAGAGGTCCCCAACCTTGTGTCTCCAGGTGGTCTTGGACTACAACTTCCAGAAATCTTGGTCCAGCACAGCTAGTAGTGAAGGCTTTTGGGAATTTTAGTCCAAGAACATCTGGGGACCCAAGATTAAGGGCCACTGTTCAAAAATGAACCCCTACAGCTCCAGTGCCGACAAAGTTTTCCCTCTTGTTGTGGAAGGTGCAGGAGGAATGGAAGGGCTTTGGATTGTACAGATCCAAGGCCTCGCATGAAGTGTCTCCTTTCCAACTTCTTCTGCTCTTGGAACAGGACAGTAGAGGAGTAACAACCTCAGAGGGTTTGCTCTGCCATCTCAGAAAGGAGGTCTCCCTTCTATCTGTGGGTCTTCCCCCTCTGCTGCTGGTGGTGGGGTGGTGTGAGAGGGAATCTCAGTGGCCCCTAGACTGCTCACTCATGGAGCTTAGAATTGTTGCCTTCATGTACTGCTTTTTAATATGTCAGAGGGTGGCTTTATGCAACCTCATACTACAGCAAGACACAAATGAATTTGTTCATTCACAATAAAGGAACAAAAATTAGTGCTGTGTTTTGCAGAACTCATTTTCCATAATTTGCCATAAAATTAACTCTGGAATGGCTTCATGTTCAGCAGATTTTTAGCCATGCTCTCAGTATAGGAGGAAGAAAGAAGTTAAAGAGAGGAGGTTTTATGAAAAGAGGGCTGCTGCTGAGAGTACAGAATCATGAGTCGTTACCAGAGAGAGGGAGGGGAAATAATTTGATTTGTACTGAATTGCTTTTTCCTACTAAAACCCATTGTCTTCACATTTATATATTGACAGAGGCTGGAGATGGCTGGACCGCGATTTGTTTCCAACAAAACATCTCAGCATGCTTTATTATCTAATTCTGATTACACTTGGGAGTATGAATATTATGAATATGGGCCAGTTTCATTTGAAGACCTCAAGGCTCATAAGTGTAAGTCTTACTCGGACATTCGGATTTTTTAAAAAACAGGCTTCTCCTCATGATCTTAACACTCGAGCAGGCTCATAAAGGGAGGTGTGGTCCTGGAGATAGCTTGGGTCCAAACTGTTTAGGGCTTTATAGGTTGGAACAAACACTTTGAATTCTGCCTGGAAACAGATCAGCCGGCAGTGGGGGAGGGGAGGCGCAGTGTGATCCCTGCGTCCAGCCCTAGTTAGCAATCTGGCTGCTGCATTCTTCCAAACTGTGCCAAAGTGAAATCTTCCGAACTGTTCTTCATATACAGACCTGGGTATGAAAGGGGGGTGAGCGATCCCAAGATTTGCACCTTGTTCTCATCACTGCAAACGATGATGCAAATCAGCTCTTTCAGTTTCATGACAATACTTCTACTCAAACAGACTTAATTTGTTTTGATAATCAGAACTGTTTTTTTTCTGAATGTGCACTCAAAACTTTCATAATAAGACTGTGGTGCACTTGATAAAAAGATAATCATATTTCCAAATGGAATGGGTTCTTGGAAGACGTATGTAAAATTTCAAGTGGAAGGGAATGTAATGAAACTGCAATTAGATTTTACAGGCTGATTTATTGTACCATGCTGTCATGATTCATTTTATTGTTCGAAAATTACATAACGAATAAAAAATCATTATACTTTTCTTTTGGGCACTTGATGATGACTTGAGTCGTGTCCCTCACTGATGCATATTTAACCACTGGAATGCTGGAAGAGAAAGGGCGGAGTGTATGGGCCAGAAATTCCATGTCACACAGTTACTAGGGGAATGTTTGTGTAAAAGCAAGTGGGAATTGTTTTTGTTTGGCCCTATTACTCTGATTAGAACATTAACACATTTTTAGTATTATCTGGAAAAAAGCATAGGTCTCTGTTTTGCATGACAAACAAGACCTTGTAATGCCAAACAGGAGGCTGAATGTCTTTTCTATCAAGGAGACCAGAGCTTGGAAGAATAACATTCCACAGGTTAGGAAACAGATGAGTTGTCCATGTCTGCTCCAACAGGGCTGGTCTTTTGTGAACGGGTGGAGAGAGAGGGAGGGAGGAAGGCGGAGTTTGATTACCAGTCCCGCATGCAGACAGAAAATGAGCCTAGCAGTTACATTTGGCATAATGCGGACAGATCGATGCTAAACACAAAGCTTATGTAGCAGTTATATATAGAAACACATTTCTGCAGAAAGTAGAACATGGATTGCAATGGCTAAATACTAAATACAAACACTGGCTCCAGTTGGACTGCAGGTATAGATCTGAGTATATGCAGGGGATGAAACAAGATCTGTTTTTTCTTGCAGTTCAGAATGGTTTTCCCTACCCCCCCCCCACTTTTTGTATTAATGAAAGTTTATTTTCCCACCTGCAGAAAATTGACCTCCTGCCTTCTCTTACAGATTCCATTGTGATTGGTTTTTGGGTTGGCCTTGCTGTCTTTGTCATTTTTATGTTTTTTGTTCTCACCTTGTTGACAAAGACTGGAGCACCACACCAAGAGTAAGTAACACCAATGCATGATAAATGTAGCAGAGCTCATTGTCACAGGGAGAAGGGCCATCTCTTATGGGTTGGCGGGCACAGAGTCCCGAGTTCAGCTGAACTGACCTTTTCAGGAAAATGCTAAACTCTCGAAGCCCTGGAGGGTTGCTTCAGGTTTGTTGCTGGTAATACTGAGCTTGACCAACCAGTGATCTACCTGGATAGAAGGCACCTTCTCATGTTCTTCTTAAAGTCAGCAGGATTTACTCTAGATTGTGCTTACAGGACCATAGCCTCAAAATGCAAGCTTGCATTAGCTTGGTATAAATCCAACTGACTGCAATATGATCCTTTTCTGAGTAGATATGCTAGATTGTACAGTGAAGCAGAGGTCCAGATGATGATCTACGAATACCACAAACTCTGGTTGCTGACTGAAATCTAAATGTTATCTAATCAAGGCATCTACTTTGCTCTACAGCAGAATGTTAAGGCTGGCATTACTGACTGATTGAAAAGTTACACTGATTGTTGGAGGGAATCCTTGAGCTCCCCATTTTAAAAGTGTTAGTATGCCTGAACTAGACGAGGGATTGATCGTGACTTCTTTCCTTCCATCACCAGTGGTGTAATTGCAAGTCTATGGTTAACTCTCATTCAGAAGCTAACTTTTTGAATGTGTCTGTAATAGCCAGGATTCATAGAGATGTGCTTTGGCCATCTTCCATCATGCTTTCTTTCATACCCACAGTTCACCTCTCCTTGCTTTTTAGGAATACAGAGTCTGCAGAGAAAAGGCTCTGCCTGAACAACTTTGTGGCTGAGTTTGGGCGGCCATTGGATTCTGACAGGATCTTCTCTCATCAAGCTGCTGAAGAATCCAGGTTGCTTTTCCATTGCTATGTCAATGAGTTTGAGGGTGTGGACAAAGGAAAACAGTGCCACAGAGTGCCGGTGATGGACCCTAACATCCATTTGCAGGAAGTAATTCATAACAGTGCAAGACTCGAAGAGGAACCGAATTGCCACACCAAATTCAACATCCCGAACTTTGTGAACACTGACCAGAACTCTTCCTTGTATGAAGATGACCTGTTGATTTCTGAACCACCCATCATTTTAGAGAGCAAACCGGTTAGTCAGATTTCTCCCTAAATTCTTAACTGATGAACCTCAAGCAAGATATTGGTTGGTTTTTTGGGGGGAAGCTGGGGTTCCAGCAAGAAATAGTATCACACCTTCTGCAGTCTATACTGAAGCAGAATATGTTTCATCTTGAACTCCAGCCCTGTCTTTCATTTGTAGCTACAGAACATTTTTTTTAATATTTTATGTTCTTTAAACTTTCGCCCTATAACCATGAATAAACCAGATGAAAGGAGTAGATTTCTTCTAACTCTTCCAAAAATTATTAGCAGTTCCATTTTTCTTAAAAGCCAGCTTTTGAGATGGGTAGCAGAAAATCCTTGTTCCTGTTCATCTGTAATTCGGCAGGCAAAATCTCCTCCAAAGGAGATGCTATATATGTGAATTTCATTCAGATGCGGCAAGAGAATTTCCAGTGGCAGTCAATGGAAGACATGAGCCTTTGGATTTCTGAATCTCCACTTCAGATTGAGACCTGAATTAAAGCAGACTGTCCACTAATTACAGAAGGCTGAAGTGGGCCATTTTCAAGAGTGGCAAATGGTAGTTGGAAATTACACTTATGTTCTGTGCCCATTCCTGATATTCAGAGCTGGTTCTTATACTGGAAACATTCCTAAGTTGCTATGTTGATTCTTCAGAACAGGCCAACTTAAAAGCCAATATTTTGGGGCTTATATTTGCTTCTGTATGGTATGCATGCTTAAAAAAAACCCTATCCAGAGCTACAGCTGTACTTCAAGATATGAACTTCTTCCCTAAATTTTGTGCCAAACTCAAATTGTACTGGAACTTTGGATGATACATAAAAAAAAATTAAAATTGCTTGGCTCAAAATGAGCTTGTTAAAAGCCTTGCAGTTAGGGAATTGGCAACAAACACTCAGACTGTCATCTGCCATGGAAGGATGCTACACTGAGAGAGCACAAGATGGTGCCCACCAGCTGCATTGGGATCTTGAGTAATTTTGAATGAAGGAGTACTTGTTATGAGAGGGACATGTTTTGTTGACTTCAGCAGTCAGTTTGTTTTGCAAATTAATCTCTTGTATTTGCCATTTAATTTGTTCATTATTTTGTTCCTGAAGATGGCACCTTGTTAAATTGTTTCCACTGTTTTGTCCTGGCAGTTACCTAGAATGACCTTTCTGGGAAGACTAGTTCATCTGCATGCCATGGTATCTTTTTAAATTGTTCTGTTACTTTGGTTAAAGATTCTAAATATCATATATATCAGCATTTGTTCTGGGCATGTATTTACTCATCGAGGCACCCGCAGTGTCCCAGTAGCTTACTTCCAAGTAATTAAAGTCTCAGTCAGGTTAGTGAAGATACACAGCAGGATCCTGTTAGGCACTAAAGGTGCACAATGATCTGTTGGCAAAGAAACAGAAGATTTCCTGCTTGCATAACTATTGCTGATTGTGGATAGTTGCTTTACACTTGTGCAAGAAGATCCTGGATGCTTCCTTGTGCAAGCTCTGTAAAGGCAGAACAGCCCACATGCATTCAGTGAACCATTTGACTGTACAGGATCCTGACCAGAAACCCCATAGGCTGTAGTTTGGGCTGTTTTTCAGGGTGGTTAACATCGTGCCATAGGCTGTAGTTTGGGCTGTTTTTCATGGTGGTTAACATCGTGTGTGGGGCTATGTGATTTTGAATTTTAGCAGATAAAACAGGATACAGTACTTAAAAAAAACACCTTTCTATCCTT